CGAAAGCATCAATCACTACAGCCGCTTCTGCAGTTTCTTCACCTTCCAACTTCCTTTTCCGAGCATAGCAATCAGCCTTCTTATGCCCCTCCTTCTTGCAATACCAGCAAGTGATCCGTGATCCTGATGCAGATCTTGATCTGCTTTTACCCTTCCTTGGTGTTGCTTCACGTTTGTCAGATCTTCCTCGTGCAGTGTAAGCATTACCAATCTTTTGTGACCTTCTTTTACTTCCTTTAGCTCGATCTCTTTTGACTTTGCAGCGTTTGTCACATCCTCGATAGTTTGAGTCTCTCTTCCGTACTTGAGAGTCTCTTTGAGAGAGTTATACTGAGATGGTAAAGAACTCAGGAGTAGTATGGCCTGCACTTCCTCTGACACTGTAACATTCACACTACTCAAACCGGAAACTACTTTCAAGAAATCATCCACATTCTAATCAATGGATTTAGAATCAGCCATCTTGAAAGTGTAGAATCTGTGTTGCATATGAATCCTATTTGGGAGAGTTTTCGAGTTGTATAACCTCTCCAGCGTAATCCAGATCGATGATGCATTCTTACAATCTTCCATCTTCCGCAGAACATGATCTCCGAGATTCAAGATCAATATATTCATCGCCTTTTCTTCTTTAGCGACCCACTCAGCTTCTTCTTTAATCCTCCTTTCGTTGAAGATTTCTTCATCTTCTTCTTTCTTAATCTCGATCTTGAAGTGAGCTGAATCTGAGAGAAATTCCTTTAATCCGAGAATCGAGAGATGAGCAAACATTCTTTTCTTCCACATTGAGAAATCGCCTTGAACGTCAAAGATCTTGATCTTAGTCTTTAGATCCGCCATCGATTCTTCCGAGCCGACGAACCTGACTCTGATACCATTTTGTTAAGATCGAAGCTTCAAATCGAACTTGATATTTAGCTCACAATCTCACAATCTCTCACGAATTGAATATGAAACAATAAGGAAGAAGACGACACACACAATTTACGAGTTCGGGCTCTCTAGAAGAGATAACACCCTACGTCTCGGACTGGTGAATCAAACTATCAAATCCGATACAACCACAATCTCTCCTCTCTGTGAGAAGAGCTATATATATCTATACGCTTTGACGATGGGTCAAAGTCAATTACAATTAACAGACCGGTTTTACAAAACCGTGAATCATGAGAAGCCTAAACCGACATTCCCAATTAGACCAACCTGTCTTTGATTCAAGCTCTTAACCAAAATAGATAACCAAAATAGATTCTCATCACTTAATTCAACATATAGCTTTGACACACCACCACAAACTCCTAGGAGCCCGGGTAGTTTTTCTCGTTCTCGCCACCACGTGTCTCATATAACTAGCTTGGAACAGGCAGATTAGATCATACAACCACTCATTCAAAGAAGAGCCAGCCAAACTACTTGGACCGAACCAACGGAACCAACCAGGTCGATTAATACGGGAATGCCTCCACTCGGATTACAAGCTTGCGTTACCAAGCTTGGCAATTAAAATCACATCTTCTCCTCTTTATATATAACTCTATAGATTTCGCTTTTCTCGATGTGGGACTATATGTATTTTAATCAGGATTGAGGATATTAAGCAAATTTCCATTTCTTTTAATAAACAATGTTTATTTTTGGGTAACTACATTCAATATATTTACCACCCGGCTAATCCTTCAAAGCGAGTGTAATCTATCTGGTTTCTAAGGGCTCAGACTGGTTCACCCGCAGCGGTTGCGACTGCGGTTGCGGGAGTTTGCGGAAGCGGGCGATTGCGGTTATTAGCGTTAATGAACATTTTGTACGATTGGTATAGCGGTTGAAAACTGTTGCGTTTGCGGGACATTTTTGACTGGTTGACAGCGGGTGTAATAGCGGTCTGATATTTAAACAATAAAATACATACAATATATTATTTATATAAAAACCAGAAATTATATATAAAAATATGTAAAGTTAATATTTAAAGACCAAAAACTAAATCATATAATAAATAGTTAAATAAATATTTTTAAGAGTTTAAAACAATTTTCTGTATCAAAACATAATTGTATAGACAGATATATATTTAACTAATATGTATATATTGTACGTTATCAAATGAAAAAAAAATATAAAGTTTTAAAAGGTTTGAATTTTTTTATAAAATATATATAGTTACATATATAAATTTTAGTTGATAAATGATATATATATTAAGAATAAGTATTAATATAAAAATTATTGATATGAGAAAATAAAAAAATTTCTTAATTTTTTCCAATTTTTATAATTTTTCTTATTTTTTATTAATTTTTAAGATAAATTATTTTATATTTTGAAAAAAAAAAATCTGAAACCACCCACCACCGCCCGCAACCGCAAACGCTTGCGGGAAGCAGCTTTTGATTTTGAGCGGTACGTAACGGTTCAGAGCGGTAGAAAGCGGTTACGGTGATTATTACTAAACGTTACAACCCGCTACTACCCGCAAACGCAGCTTTTGCGGGAGATAGCGGGTGAACCAATCAACATCTAAGACTTTTTTTTTGCAATTGTTAGTTTTTTGTATTGTTGTTAAACAGAAAATATAGATCTTTGGGATTAGGCTTTCAAGATTTTTTAAGTCATTTAACAGCTTTCAAAACCTTTTATTTTTGCTAAGTATTTTTTTCATTTTATTAAATATAAAGTCTCAAAAGTTACATTTTTTTGTTTCCAAAAACTACGTAGAATAAATTCTTACAGAAAAAAGTAGAAAAAATACATTGATTTTTTTTCTCTTTTTCTTCTTCGTCCTATATTATTCAAAACTCTTTGTAGATTTCTATTTAGTTTATCCATAACAAATTTAATTGATTAATTATTTTCTCTATTTCTGTTTTTTGAGATCTATTTCTTAAACTTTTTTTTACTAAATGTTGTTAGAAATATCTAAAACTTTTTGTTCAATTCAGCGTAAAATAATTCTTGAAAGAGAAAAATTACCTGTAATTTTTAAAATAATAGTCAGTTTCTATAGCCATAAGTTTTTTAAACTAAAAATTTTCTACAGCCAAAAGTAATAGTCAGAATCTACAGCCAAAAGTTTCCGGGACTAGGTCATAGTTTCAGAGACATCTAGTGCTTTATGATATCTCTTGTGGGAAAATAGATCTTCTATCCGTAAAAAAAAACATTTACTTTTATGTATATACCTAAAAGTTTTTTTTATAAATTATTAAACAAATAGAATGGTATAAATTGCTTCGAATTTTTTTTTCTATTTTTCGTAGAGGGAAAAACAGAATTATTCAAAATCTTCTTTATGTATCTTTTTAACTCAAAATCAGGAAAAGGCATCAGCTTCGTAGAGTGACATACTAAATTATTGAAGGCTACTTCACAAACCCTAAAACTTTTTTTTTTGGTCGAACCCTAAACCAGAAGTCCAAAAGCTAAAAGGCCTAGAATCTATCGTTTAGTTTCAGAAAGTCTGATTTAATTTCTTAACCATTTTTTTGCGCGACATTCATAAGAAACAAACTGATCTTGAACCGTCCTTTAATATACATAGATAGAAGAAAGAAGTAGACACAAGCACATAACTTAGCACATGAGAATGAGAAATCAGAGGAATTTCAATTTAGAATGTCAACAAAAGAAAAACAGAGGAATCTGATTTTGCGCTAACCTGCATTTAGAATGTCGGGGAAGTCTATAGGTTAGCTTAGGCTCCAGACAAGGAGGATAGTAAGCGTGTGTGCATGCCTAATATGTTTCCTATATGGTCCTTTTCAAGGCCTAAGCTCTCAGAGATTGCCTCACAAGTCTCAAGACCAAGGCTCTAACGCTTGTAACGTATTCGGCTGTAATGTCCAACATACTAAAAAACGAATTTACGAATCTATTAAAAATTTAAATCTTTTTGAGAAAGAGAGATATAGGGAGATCCTTGAAACTCGATAAGCTTCTATATTATAGTAAAAAAAAGTTCCAATTAAAACCAATTTTAATTTCAATTTGGTTCAGTTTAGCTTTTATAATAAAAAAAAATAATGTTCAATCGTGAAAATAATTTAAAAAAAAAAAGTAGATGATTCAGTCGTGAACGGCCCAATGTTACGCTCTGCCCGGATACTCAAAGTTATCCGCTCTGGCGACCCTAACCATGCGTCACGCATTGCCATCCAAACTAAGAGCCAAATTAGGGTTTCTTAGCTTTTCGCCACCACAAGTCTCATCTCATTATAGCCGGCGAGTTAAAGATCATATAGCCAGTCTATTCAAACAAGAGCCTTCTACTACCTGGATCAAACAGACTGAACCAACGCGGTCGATTAATACCGTAATGCCTCCACTCGGATTACAAGCTTGCGTTACCAAAGCTTGGCAATTAACCTCATATTTTCTCCTCTTTATATAAAACTCTATTGATTTCGCTTTTCCCGATGTGGGAGTCTATGATACTTTAATCAGGATTGCGGATATTAAGTAAATTTCCATTTCTTAAAATAAAACAAAGTTTCTCCGGTTGTTGTTGTTAAACAAAAATTACGTTGTTGTTATTTTCGAAAGTATTTGCAAGAATAGACACTTTGAATGATTAAACAAATACATTGGTATTAAGATTCAAATAGTTTTTGACAGACATTTTCTCAACTTTACTTTAGCGGGTAATAGATAATTTTACCCCTCTTTCTATTTTTCTGTTTACCATACACACGTACATACCATATGGTAAATTGCATAAATTGTCATGAACAGTAAAAATACTAAAAGGTAATACAGTATACAAAAATGCTAAAAGCCTTTAAAAACGTGCTAATTTTTGCAAAACCTTTTTCGTAAGAGGAAAAAAAATGGAAGTGTTCAAAAGCTTCTTTCTGTATTATTTTTTAACTCAAAATCAATGAGTTCTGAGAAGAGACATCAGCTTGTAGAGTGCGTGACATACTAAAATATCGATGGAAATCTACTTCACAAACCCTAAAACTTTATAAGCCAAAAGCTAAAAGCCTAAAATCTATGGTACGTTTAGATTCAGAAAGTTTGATTTATTTTTCAACCGTTTTTCTTGACATTCATAAGAAACAAACTGTTCTTGAACCGTCTTTTGATTATTACATAGATAGGACAAAGAGGGTTTTCGGATTCGAAACAAAAGAGCCAGTCAAGATTTGATTCCAAAGTAGACACTCTTTAGGTTGTGGAAGCTTTAAAAGCGTCGAGACAGCTCGCAGTAGCGAGTGATCTGTCCCAAAACTTGTCCCAATACTCAACAAATGGAAAGCTTTTGTAAACAGCAGGAGAGTCTTGTTCATTGATCAGCTCCTGTGCAGGACCAATCACTGCATCTGTAGATGGAAAATAGAATGTTGGAATCGATAACCGCTCCTTCTCTGTGTTCACGACAGCTCTGTGAAGCACGCTCTTGTATTTTTCATTGCTTATGACCTTAAAAGGAGACAGAGGCACATAACTTAGCACATGAGAGTGAGAAAACAGAGGAATTTCAATTTACAATGTCAACAAAAGTAAGACAGGGGAATCTGACATGTACTAACCTGCATTTGGTCACCGATATTGACAATGAAAGTGTTGGGAATAGGATAAACAGCGACCCATTTATCATCCTTAAAGACTTGTAAACCAGAGACTTGGTCTTGAAGAAGGACAGTGACAACGGTTGGGTCTTTATGTCCGGGAAGTCCGTAAGTTAACTCAGGCTCAGGACAAGGAGGATAATAGTTAAAGGCCATGTGTTGAGCGTGTGTGCCTAATCTATTGCTTATATGGTCCTTTTCAAGGCCTAAGCTCTCAGAGATTGCCTCAAGAAGGTTCAAGACCAAGGCTCTAACGCGTGTGGCGTATTCGGCTGTGATATCTTTGAAAGAGACGGGTTTCGAGGGCCATTCGTTGATGAAATCTTCAATGGGAAAGCAATGGATTCGAAGGTAGTCTCTCCAGTTCAAGATTTTGTCTTCGCTGACATTGAAACTGGTAGAGACTCTCGTCTTCTTTGTTGAATCCGTCGAGTAATGTTTCATCCTCTCGCTCTCTGGTTGATGGAAAAACTCTCTTGCGACATTTAGCATTTTGTCGATGGTTGTCTCCGGTACTCCATGATTCTTGATCTGGAACCATACCAAAACATGAAAGATTTGAGATAGAGTTAACGTGGTGTGGAATACAAAAGGTGTAGATCGGAAAGGAGTAACAAAAGATGCTAAATTTGAAATAAATTTGAAACTGAGTCAATGATTTTAGCCTAATCCATCTACGGAAAAGTCAACGAGTTTTTACTCTAATAACAACTAAGATTAATTTATTTAAAATTATGATTTTCCTTATTTTCATATTATTTATTTTCTTTGTTTTCATAAATCTTTTGAAATATTACAATAATAATCCAAAAATATATAGGTAATATTATAGATATATATAATTTAAATTATATAAAAAATTTAAAAAATATATATATATATATTAATTATCTGAATAGCATGCATATAACAAAATGAATTAATAACAAAATAGCAGAATCAATAGAACGAGAAAAGTAAACAAGAAACAGAATAAATTTAAAATTAAAAAAAAACTAATTACATAACACTAACATGATAATTTGCATTTTTTTTATCATGGAACATGTATATAACTAGAAATTTTATGTACTCCGCGAAATCATGTTTCCAGAACTTTTTTTTTGGTGAATGATGGGGACAATTGTCCCCTAAATTTATTAAAATACTAATCTCAAAAATTACATTCGGACATTTTCTGGGTGTAAAATATAGAATACCCATTCACATCCTCAACTAACAAAGACCTAAGATCCTCAGGACATACATCAAAAACATAAAAGTAAAGTGTAAATTTAATAAAACTTGAAAGACTAAACACTATATTCAATATAATAAATCCACTATATCTGAATAAAAGTAAAGTGTAAATTTAAAACAAAATGTCGTGTATTGCAGTAAAACATGGTAATTTTAAATTTTTCCTAATTTACATCGGTAATTAGGTGTAGAGTACCGACTATCCTTCGCTTTACCCATTATTCATCATGTTTAAGAACCCTGAGCCGTAAACCAAGACACTAAGTGGCCCATGCGCGACTCGCTTGTAACCCCCACACCCCGGATCAACATAGTAAATTTGAGACAGAGCAATACTAGACGTGAAGTTACCTGGAAGAAGCCATAAGTGGAACATGCATTAGCAAGTTGATGGATAATTTCTGCTCGATTGGGTCCGTGAAGATCCCGGAGATCAATCAGAGGAATAGAATCTCCGGATGTCTCGACCTCCGACAAGTTCGGACGGTCCAAGATGGGTCGGACGTAGGTTAAAGGGATATGGGTAACGGAGGAGGCGAAATCGGACACTAAGAGCTTGGATGTTGCAGAAGCTGCCATGATTGGGTAGGAATTTCTCTTTGGTAATGTCGAGAGATGACAACTAAAGTGATAGAGATGCTTTATATAAATACTATAAACAAGTGTAAGTGTGTAACGTGTAATGTGTGTTGATGTGTAGATAAATCATTTACCTCAGGTACATGCGCATGTGTGATGTCAGCAATATGACGTAACTTTCATCAATTGTATGATTCTTTCTCGTGTTGTGGAGCCGTTATACATACGTTTACATTAATTAAGTAACAGTTGTTTTTTTAAAACTAAGTGAGATAGCAAGAGCAAATTAGCTTGATAAAATAATATTTTTTTATTGATGAGAAAATACCTTTTACCCCCTCATCACAACAAAACAGTAACATATATTTTGAACGATAATAAAGACGCTTTATACATCGTTTTTTTTTCTCTGACAAACAACATTTTCTCTTTCTTACTTTTTTTTCAAATTTTGAATTAGAGACCCATTTCAACACACAACCTACACTTTTCGTCTCACAACATCGGTTCAAACATTTTTTCTCTCTCATCATTTCTCTCCTTTCTCTGTTTCACATTTTGCCGGCGAGGCAGTATCATTTATTCAGACAAAGCTGACCATGGGGCCGAAATCGATTGGTTCGACGATGATTTGTGGAAGGTAATCTGTCGATTTTCACTTGTATTTAGTTATTTTCCACTTCAATTTTCGCTTTTCGTTTTTTTTGCTTCGACAATGAATAGTTGCTACCGTCATTGTGCTCCACTGTGTCTTTTTTCTAGATCTACAATTCCCAGGTTATCTCTTCTGATTTTCGTAGATCCACTATTTCCCGTAGGTTTCGTTCCATCGTTTTATGCTGCCTATTTAGGGAACCCGCACATTTACCCGCTTCTTTAATTCCGTAACCATTTTAGTTTAATAGGCGTCTATTAGTAGTTGACTATTCGTTCTTGCTTTTGTGTTCAGTGATATGCGAAATCTCCGACTATCCGAGCCGGACCCCTTTACAAATGAATTGTTTCCCCAAATCCGTGATGCACTGGTTGATATTTTTGAAAGAGTTGCTAGGGAGTCTGCAGAAAACGCTTGCTCGTTTGCTTGTTCATGTAAGTTCCTCAACGGAACTTTCAAGGAACCATCTGTCATTAGGGTTCTAAACCTTAGTGCCTTCGTCCAAAAACCCAGTTTGATGAAGCAGTACCCTATGTTTCTTGAGGCGGCGATTAGTTCCGGTAATCCGACATCATTGTACCTCCGCGGCATGACCAAGATCACAGTTGATAACAACATCGAGGGTTCCGTTATGTTTTTTACAAAGCGTCTAAAGCTGGAGTCGATACTGCGACTTTAATGCTTGCAATTTGCGCACTGCATATGGTATGTATGAGAGAGGGCTGGTAATCCTTGACCGTATAGTTGGTTGGAAGTCACGTATGGATTACATGGAAGGGATTGCAAATCAAGTGATGGATTTGATTGAAGCTTGCAAAGAGCCGATGGTGCACGGGATCTTTCCCAGTCCTTTTTCCAAAATCCCCATATGCGGTTTGAAGCATCAGATGATCTGTGAGCATTGCTACTTGTATGTTTATTACCAGCTGGCAAACAGTGTTTTCAATCGATAGACGACTATGTTCGTCCTGTCTCATATTTATGTTGTAATGAGATACTAGTAGTCAGCTATTATGCTATTGTGTTGTTATCTGGATATTATTAAGTTTATGTTGTAGTTGAATACTGGTTCCGTGATTTCTGGGAAAAATCTTTTATTTTTATTTTTTATGAATGTTTTGAAGTCGTAACTCACTTTTAGATACATTTACCCTTGTTATTATAGAATTAATTTTTTTTTTGTCAACTGTTTTGGTAACCGGTAAATTTCTTTTTTTTTGTAATTTAAAAAAAAAAATAACTTCCACAAAGCCACCCTTAAATACCCTTCATCATGTCACGTCTGCCATTTTCTTTAGTTTTCTCTCTCACCTCCGAACTTCTTCAGCAACTGCCCTGCCCTTTTCTTTTCTCTGTTGTCGTTTCACTTGAACTCTCACCGTCCCCCTCCATTTTAACCTATTTACAATTTTCGCCTGACATCGACGTTGCTTTCCCGGTGAACTTCGATTTCGTCCGGCGAAATCCAAGAACTCCGCCGACTCGCTTTCACCGTCGCAGTTCTTTAATTTAGGTAAAACAAAGTCCGCCGTTCTCTCTCTTCCGCATCTCTTTTCTTAATTAAGTTCATACCATTCGTACATTTGAGATCTCTGGTTCTTCACTGTTTTTCGAATAAGGAAATGAATTCTATGTCAGGCACCAATAACAAACTATTAGTACGCAATTACTTGGTCAGATTATTTGTTGAGATGTTTGGTCGTTTATGTTTTTCGATTGAAGTGCTCGCAGATCTGTCATGGGGGTGGCTAGTTATTCGTCTTTTTGTAATTGATTAGGGTTCCTCCCTGGGCGACAGGGTCATGATTGGCTTTTCACATCATATCTAAATACTAGTAGCCAAATACTGAATTTTGGGTTTAGTACAAAAATTAAGATCTAACGTTCTCTGGGCGACAGGGTACTGTTCTATGAATAATCAACTACCCATAAACAAATTTGTAAAAACGTTCTTTAGATTTCAGCGTCGGTGTGTATTTTTTTTTTTTGTACTCGAATAGGGTTTCAGTTTTTCTTCCCTTAACGATTATAATAGCCTTTCAGTGAATAATTAGACTATTAATAAAAGATAAACACATATGCATAATCAACTACCTCAAATTAAAATTATTTTTCTTGGTTGTTTTCAGGGCAGCGATGAGTAGCTTGATCATACTAGACTATTAATAAAAGATAAACACATATGCATAATCAACTACCTCAAATTAAAATTGTTTTTCTTGGTTGTTTTCAGGGCAGCGATGAGTAGCTTGCTGGATAGGCTGTTCGCCTTAGGCAATGAACCTGAGAATAAGAAGGTCAACACTTACTTTCAGCTGAATTATATTGACACAATCACTTGCGCTTTGGAAGAAGACCATTTGGAGAAGCTTTCCTCTTCCCAATTTGGCAAAATTATAGAGACTGGAAACAAGATTGCATCTTCAGTGAGATTCCTGCATTTCATGTTATCTAGGCAGTTGGTTACAACAAAAAAGAAAGAGTTGTGGTGTCTCTTTGCTGGTCATCCCATTCGGTTCTCAATTCGTGAATTTGCAATTGCAACCGGCTTGGATTGTTCGAAGTTGCCTCCACAGCGTGAATTAAACGAGAGGAAGCTGAGTAAGCAGACGAAGAAGTTATTTGGGTCAAGTGCGAATGCAAATCCTGGGTGGATAGCGAGCACACTTGCTGGCAGACCATACAAGGACAAGGAAACCAGATTTAAGCTCGCATGCCTACTCCTCATCGATGGTGTGTTGTGTCCCACGTCTAGAAACGCTAGGATAAGTGGCGAACACATCTTAATGGTTAAAGATGTTGACAACTTCCTTGAATATCCTTGGGGTCGTAAATCTTTTGATTTGACCATGGACTGCATCAGAAGTAAGACAGAAACCCCTTCAAATTTCCTCCAACCCACTTGTGCTTTTCAGGGTTTTTTAAATGCACTACAGATGGTGATTTTGGAGTGTGCGCCTATTATATTGGTTAAGGATGTTAAGGGCAAGGGTAAATCGGTAGGTGACGATGAAGACGAAGAGGATGAATCCCCGCTTATACGTCCTGGTGGTGCGAAGCCAGTAAACATATCAATGCCTCATGTGAAGCATCTTGATAAGGACGTAAAGGTACCACTTAAACTGAACTACATAATAGTCACCTACATTTCATTGCATACATACGATGGTAGACATATAATTGTAGTCATCTACTAGTAGTCACACACTACTTATCATTCACAATTTCACAATGCTGCCTTATATGTCTATTACTATGGAGTGAGGATATTCAGACTAGTATACATTAGTAGTTGGTTACATGTAGGTGTATTGTTGTAGTTGTTTACCTAACATTTTCTCGGTATATCAGGTGAAGGTGAAAGCAATTTTACCTGACGATGAGAACTTGTTGGCTGAAACCGATTTGGAAATTGATGATGATGTCTCCGACGAACGCGTAGACAACTTGCTTGCAGCAATTTCACGAGGTCACAAATTTACAAAGAAATCATGGAATGGTGGTCAAAAAGCAAGCCTTCATAAAAATCAGGAGAAGACCCAAGCCTCATCTTCCCGTAGCACACCTTGCGAGGGTCCTTTAAAAGATTCTGATGCCTCTGCAATTCTGGACAAGCTCGATGTTTCAGTCTGTGATTTTACAGGAGCTGAAAAACCTCCGAGAAGATTTCGGCAATCTCTGTTCATAAGTTTCCACAGCATTGTCAAACTTCAAGCTTGCAATTTCTGATATACAAGGGTATAAACCGAAAGAAACTACAACCGGGTGTGTGAGCCAAAACTCGCACAACCTAAGATTTGTAAAGAAAACTAAGGGATCGGAAACTTCTAGGGCTTATCGCCAAAAACAGTAAGATCAAAAGAAAGCTTTTCTTGCTGTGAAAGTGTTTGGTTCTTATTGCTTAGGGTTGCCAAAAGTTGGCGGAATGAATTACATACACCATATATTTATACTGATTTTCTAAACCGCCTAGCCGAGAATCTCGGGCGAGATTTTCGGAATATTTCCTTATCGCCTCGTGCGGCTGACCGACTTTGCATCTCGCCTAGGGTTTTTCATGGGCTTCGCCTCTTCAAGGCTTCGGCTCGGCCCATCATGCTTTCTTTACGGCTCGGCCCACTTGACATAATTCGCTCCACCTCTCCGCGGCACGGCTCGGCCCAGGTATTTAAGACAAGGGCTCGGCCTATGTTATGTTATACGGCTCGGCCCATCTCCTTCTTCTCGGCTCTCCCACCTGGCGATCGCGGCTCTCCCGCCTTTCTTGGTAAAAACGGCTCTCCCACCTTTCTTGGTGGAAATGGCTCTCCTTCTTGCCTTGGTGAGAACGGCTCTCCCGTTTTGATGATCACGGCTCTCCTATTTTTCTATACTTAGTTATTTTGGGATGGTTTATTTGTGTGGGGTGGAAACCGACCCCAACAGTTAGCCCCCCAGCTCGTCAATCTCGGAGTCGAGAGTGACGAGGTACATTACTCCTGACCACGAGATAAACCATCGAGCCGAGCTGCTACGACACGAGCCCAGATTCATGTTTTGGGAGTGTGAGTGCCGAGGTGTTTCCAAGGAGTGCCGAAGATGCCGAGGCGAATCAGGGACGAAGCGATTTGGTGACGGTTATGCCGAGCCGACTATATGGCTAGGCGTTTCGAGTGAAAGTTCATGCCGAGCCGTGATGTTAACGACGAGGCGTTTTAAGAACAAGGGTCAGTGCCGAGCCGTTTAACGACGAGGCGTTTCAAGAACAAGGATTTATGCCGAGCCGTTTAATGACGAGGCGTTTTGAGATAGTTAACACCGAGCCGTTTTGTTTAACGACGAGGCGTTTTTGAGAGAGAGACAGATAATGCCGAGCCGTTTTGTTTAACGACGAGGCATTTTGAGATAGTTAACACCGAGCCGTTTTGTTTAACGACGAGGCGTTTTTGAGAGAGAGACAGATAATGCCGAGCCGTTTTGTTTAACGACAAGGCGTTTTGAGATAGTTAACACCGAGCCGTTTTGTTTAACGACGAGGCGTTTCGAGAGAGGCAGATAATGCCGAGCCTTTTCGTTAGACGATGAGGCGATACAAGTGAGAGAGAGTCTATACCAAGTCGTTTCGTTATCCTGGGTACCCTGACTGTTGGTCTTCCGAGAGGAAGTTCCGGATCTTTCGGCGCGTGCAAACGACGCAACCCGGTATGACCAATTCGCCGCGTACCCTACGCGCTGTTAGACGGCTTCCCGAGGTTCACGCGGAATTCACGCGCCTCGTTTTTCTATAAATAGGTGAGCTCCTTCACTTCTCCTCATTATTTCCCGACTCACTCGTTTTTACTAAAGGTAGCTCTCCCTTCTCTCTTCTTTCTCTCTCTAGTTTATTTATTTTCCGGCTAGGGTTTCCGAGGTCTCCGCCGCTCCAGATCTTTTTCCGGTAGAGGCTCGCCGAGTCAAGTTGTAATTCATTGTAAAAGTTGTAAAGTATGTCGAACCGTTCCGACGACTCGTTAGATCCGCTTTTCCACTACGAGCCGAGCCGTATAGACGCTGAGGCGAGGGGTGCGATGGATTCTTCCGAGGCGTCTGCTTCGCCGAGCCGTTCTCACCGTCCATCTGACGAGGCGTCAAATGATGAAAACCCATCAGATGTCGGCTCTCCGGATGGCGAGCCGTCGGTTTCGACGAGCCGTCCCCAGGATCCCGCTCCTAACGAGGGCATTAACCGAGCCGCGCTCAAGGCCGAGGAGGAGGCATTTCCCTTTGATCTTTTCGAGGCGAAGCTTGAGTTGGAATGCCTCCTGGCGTCCCGAGGTGCTTTCACATCTGGGCGAACGCCGAGAGTTAAGAGGCAAAAACCCGACCCGCCTGGGTCTTCACTCTGCTCCCTTGAGTCACTCGAAGTGTTGAGGCATCGCTTCGGAATATCCGAGGCGGTAGAGTTCGTTGTCCTAGAGAAAAGCGACCGCCCCGACAACCCTCCAGAGAATCATTTCACTCTGTACGAGGCGTTCTTCGAGCTTTGCTTCCTCTGGTTCCCAATCCCCGGAGTGATCCTCGAATACCTTTGGAAACACGGGATCTCGATCGGGCAGATTATGCCGAGGGGACTGCGGCATATGATCGGCATTTTAGTCCGAAGCTTCGAATGCGGTCTTGACATTGAGCTGAACCACCTGCTGAACTTGCTGGAAATCAGGAAGGCTCCGAAAAGAAACAGGTTCTATATTTCCAACAAGGCGAAACGACGGATTATCGGCGGTTTTCCCAGCAAGGACCAGCTCTGGACTGAACGCTTCTTCTACGTTTTAGTGAACGAGGTGTCGGTCGGCGAGGATTACGTTTGCCGAACCAAGACCGCCTGGGGACCACTTGGTAGCCGACCCGAAGCTTTGCCTCGGCTCGGAGATCGGTTCAAACTTTCTTCCTTTTCTGACACTTATCTTTTGGTTTACTTTGTTTTGCAGTTCGTTGCTATCTTCCCCCGATTCCCGACGATCTGTTCACCGTTCGAGATTCTCTTTCGGCGCGGAAGGTTAACTGGAGAAAGAATTTCACCCTCGAGAGGGTAGAGAAGGCGCGAGCCATTCTTGCAGGAGTTCCCGTCAGCTCTTCATCCTCCAGCTCCTCCAGAGATACCCGCGAAAAGATGGTGATCTTAACCCTCCGAGAAAGGAAGAGACGCGAACAGGAAGAAGCCGCTAGACGAGCTGCCGAGGCGGCTCGGGCGCAGGCCGAGGTGGTTCCGGCGCAAGCCGAGGTGGTTTCGGCGCAAGCCGAGGCCACCCCTCAAACCGACCCGCCGAACTGGGATGAGACGACCCGAGCTGCGGAGGGTAATACGACCGAGGTGGTCGAAAGAGATGTGGCGCCCGAGGTGGAACAGGGCGAAATTGTTCCCGAGGCGTCTGGGGGCGATTCAGCGGTTCGGAACAAAGAGCCTTCGAACTCCGCTATTCTAGCCCTCCCGAAGTCGACGAGGCCCCCGACTTCCGTCGTGCAGAAACACGACCCGAGCCGAAAACGTTCGGCTGCTGCTAAAGGGAAGGGGGTCGCTGTTGAGAGGGACGAGCCGTCCAAGAAGAGACGGAAGCCGACGTCTGGAGAATCCGCCGCGCGCAAGTTGGTCGTCGATGACCCCGACGCCTCCGCCATAATTTTCTCGCGTGTAAATAACGCGAACACGCGTCTTCCTCCTCCCGAGAAGTTGAGGAGGCCGAGGTCC